TCCTAGAGGCTGAGAGCATGTGGGCCAAGAGGTTGTGGGCCCCAAGTAGGCCCAGAGTGGGTGCTTGTGTGCCCGCAGGGAAGTGAGACCCTCTCCCCTCTACCTGCCTCGGACCAGGAGCACCCTAAGAGAGTGTCCTAGAGGGTGCTCCCTGACTTTATGCTAGTACACCCCCTGGCTGGGGGAAGGGGTGTTTGATGGTATGGGTTGATGCCTTTGGCTGAGGTAAGGCTCCCTGGGTGATGTCATGTGCCTGGGCCTAGTTTGGCCCACCCAGGTGTACCTCCCACCTGGCCCGGGGGCTTGAGTCGGAGCATGCTCAGTTTTGGGTCTTCCTAGGTGTCTAATGGCTGCCTGACTTCTTTCCATCCTCCTCTATGGGGGCTTTGCAGGCATGGGAGGGACAACCCCTGCCCCTAATCTAGCTAGCTACCAGATCCTTTTAGGGGATCCAGGTGGGGGAGTCGTCTCTTCCATTTTGCTCCTTCAAATGTGCATGAAGAGAGCGTAGTTTGGTGAGGGGAAGGGGCAGAGAGAGACAGGGGACAGCTGGGGGCTACCAGGCAGGGGTGTGGGCGTGGAGTCAGGAATACACACTCACAGTGGAGCCCTTGGCTTTTCTCAAGGAAGCTCAGTTCCCACCCCCACCCTTCCCACCTGGGGTATCTCTGGAACCTCCTCCACTGAAGGGCTGGCTGTGGGCACAAAGGTGGCCCAGTTCTCTGCCTGTGGGCAGCCAGGGGACCAGATAGGACCCAGGGCAGTTCCTGAAATGCTGTAGCACAGGGCATGGCCTGCCCCCTCCTCCCTTCCAAGGTTGCTCCCTGTCCTCTCTGTAGATGGATGCAGCACAATTCACCCTGAGCTCTGAGGAGACCAGGGGGTCTGCACGTGGTCCCACCCAGGCAAGATGGACAGTAGGAGCTCAGGTCCCTCTCAGAGCACTTCTGTGAATGGAGCCCTGAGGGCACAGGGAGGAGGGAGGGGTAGGGAGACCCAGGTGTGTGAGCAAGGGACAGTGAGTCCGTCATCCCATGGACAGTCCATTCTCTGGTCTCAGGGGTCTGCCACCTCCCCCACAACACCTGGTTTCTTGGGCCCCTGGGATTCAGAACCCCCACCCCACCTTTCATCACCTGGCCCCCACCAGGAAGGCTCCTCCAGGGACCATTTCCTGGGCCACACCCACAAGTGAGAACACTCAGACTTTGCTGTGCAGGAGCTTTATTGAGCCACGTTTTACAGAGTGAGAGGCAAGCAGGTCCCCGGAGGAGCCCACACCCTGTCCCACCTCTGGGAGGTCATGAGACATCCCCTTTGTCCCTCCGAGATATTAAGGGAAGGACAGGACCCCCAAGTTGGCAGGGCTGGCACTTTGCAGGGATGGAATGGGGTGATGGGCTCAGTGAGAGGCTGGCATTGGGGAGGGTGCATGAGGTTCTCCAAGCTCTTGGGAGGGGTGTTTGTATCAGCAGCGTCCTTGTCCCTGCCAGGAGACTCAAGCAGGTGACAGGACATACATGCGAATCCAGGACAAATAGGATGCCACTTGGGTGTAGACTTCAGGGTATCCTGGCTCATCACATTTTGGATGACCCCAACTCACCACCCCAACCTGGACCCATCTGTTGTCCTCAGGGCAGACCAGGGGTCCCCCAGAGTCTCCCTGTGGGAAGAAAAGGCAGAAAGTGGCCATCAGGATCCCCGAGGGCTGAGAACAAGGTTAGGAAGCAGGACAAGTGACCAGGCTGGGACATAGGGTCTCACGTGGCAGGTGGTCTTCCCCCGGCTCCCAGCACACAGCATGTCATCCCTGACATACGCGTTGATCCATCTGTAGCTGTTCCTGCATGTCTGCAAGTCCACAATGGGGACCTGCACCTCCTGCAAGGTCTTGTTCATGGGTAGGTACTCTGTGGGGAGGAATGGGCAGAGCTCAGGCTGAGGGTCTGGGGATTGGCCAGGGACCTCGGCACAATGTCTGCCCTGCTCCTGAGAGCTCCAGGTGCATGGGTCTGGAGACATCC